AGCTCAATGCGGGGCTCACATGTGGGGAAACTGAATTCAAGACAGGGACAGGGGCTGGGAAGGTGGCTCAGTGGTAGAGCGTTTGCCTTGCATGCCTGAGGCCCTGGGTTCGATTCCTCAGCACCACATAAGCAGAAAAAAAAAAAGACAAAGGGATAGCAAGTGCAAGAAAACTTAAGCAGGAGCTGGGAATGTGGCTTAGTGGTAGAGTGCTTGCCTAGCATGCATGAAGGCCCTGGGTTCCTCAGTACCACATAAACAGAAAAGGCTGGAAGTGGTGCTGTGGCTCTAGTTGTAGAGTACTAACCTTGAGCAAAAGAGCTTAGGGACAGTGTCCAGGCCCTGAGTTCAAGCCCCAGGACTGGCAAATAAACAAACAAACAAACAAACGTAGCTGGGCACCAGTGGCTCATGCCTATAATCCTAGCTACTCAGGAGGCTGAGATCTAAGGATCCTGGTTCAAGGCCAGCCCAGGCAGGAAAGTCTGTGAGACTCTTATCTCCAATAAACCACTCAGAAAACCAGAAATGGTGCTGTGGCTCAAGTGGTACAGCATTGCCTTGAGCTGAAGTGCTGAGGGAGAGCACCCAGACCCAGAGTTCAAGTCCCACAACAGACCAAAAAAAAAAAAACTAACAAAACAAAAAACAACCTTAGCCGGGCGCTGGTGGCTCACGCCTGTAATCCTAGCTACTCAGGAGGCTGAGATCTGAGGATTGCGGTTCAAAGCCAGCCCGGGCAGGAGAGACCGTGAGACTCCTATCTCCAATAAACCACCAGAAAACCGGAAGTGGCGCTGTAGCTCAAGTGGTAGAGCGCTCACCTTGAGCTGAAGAGCTGAGGGACAGCGCCCAGGCCCAGAGTTCAAGCCCCACGACCGACAAAAACAAACAAACAAACAACAACAACAACAAAAAAAACAACCTTAAGCAGAGATTAGGTAATGAACATAAAAGGCAGAAAAGGCCAAATACCGGTGGCTCACACCTGTCATCCTAGCTACTCAGGAGGCTGAGATCTTAGGATCATAGTTCAAAGCCAGCCAGGTAGGAAAGTCCATGAGACGCTTATCTCCAATGAACCACTTGAAAACCGGAAGTGGAGCTGTAGCTCAAAGTGGTAGAGGGCTAGCCTTGAGCGAAAGAGCACAGGGACAGCGCCCAGGCCCTGAGTTCCAGCTCCACAACAAGAAAAAGGCAGAAGAAGTCCTGTGTACATGGAAGAAGTAAATTCATTTAAAGGGTTTCCTGATCACTGTCTATACTCTGGGCCACTCTGTTCAACCTCGAATCCCAGCCTTCCTCCAAGTCCCTAGAACATCCTTCCTCACGCTCCCCCCACCCCTCTCCTCCCCCATGGCTCACTCTTCTCCTACCCTGGCTCCCTCCTTGGATCCTGAGGCAGTTGAGGACCCTCCCCACCCTAATTGCCTCCCCTCCCCTCCCCCCGGTCCTAGGCCAGCCCAGCACCTCTCAGCACCTCTCAGATACTAACCAAAGATGTTGTGAAACAGATACTGAAAATCTGGTTGACACCAGCTGTGCCGTGGACACGCTGTGTGACCTTGGATAAGTCAACATTTTTCTGTAGCCCTCAATGAACTCCAAAATAATAGTTTATGTGATGCTCAGTAGAAGCATACGAATCATACATGAAACCACCTAGGAACACAAGGCCTAGGTGGGCACAGGGCACTTTATGCACAGAAACTACTTTTATTTGTTTTATTTCAGCTTTTTTTTTTTTTCCCCAGTCCTGGGGCTTGAACTCAGGGCCTGGGCACTGTCCCTGAACTGCTTTTGCCCAAGGCTAGTGCTCTACCACTTGAGCCACCGTACCACTCCTAGCTTTTTCTGTTTACGTGGTGCTGAGGAATCGAAGGCAGGGTTTCATGCATACTAGGCAAGCACTCTACCACTGAGCCACCTTCCCAGCTCTAGTTCAGCTTTTTGTGTACTGATGAAAGTGGGTTTTGAATTCAGGGCCTGGGCACTGCCCCTTTGCTTTTTCTGTTCAGGGCTGATTCTCTACTACTTGAGCCACAGCTCCACTTCTGCTCTTTTTTTTTTCTGGTTCATTGTACTTTCTCTGATTTGGAATCTAGATCCTCATATCATAACCTACTAGAGTAGCTAGGATTATAAGTGTGAGCCATAGAGTCTGGCTAGAAACTTTTTTTTTTGGCCAGTCCTGGGGCTTGAACACTGTCCCTGAGCCTATTTGTGTTCAAGTCTGATGCTCTACCATTTGTGCCACAGCACAGGGACTTTTCTGCCCAGGCTGGCTTTGAACCATGATCCTCAAATCTCAACCTCTTGAGTAGCTAGGATGACAGATGTGAACCCCTGGTGCCCAGAGCAGACACTACTCTTAATCCCCAGGAGCACCCTAGACATTGCAATCTATTATTGCTCTTAGCTCACATATGAAGAAGAAGTTAAGGAGATGGCTCAGTGGTAAGAATAGCTACCTAGCACGTACCAGGCCCTGGGTCTAATCCCTAGCACTACAAAACACAAACAACAAAAACACACAGGAGGCCCAGACAGGTTCAGGTCCAGCTATTTATCCAAGGTCATATAGGAAGCAGGGCGAATTCGAATTTGAACCCAGTCTCTGCCGCCCACCTGTGCCCTGAACCACTTGATGATAAACAAAGTGGAAAAGCCCTAACCGTTGCTGGAAAGAGAATCAAGCCCCAGGGCTGCCACCTCTCCCACACTTGTCCCTCCCAAGATCTCAGAGACCCCCCCCTCCTTCCTTCCCACACCCCGGCCCCACCCAGCCTCTCCTACCTCCTACCACCTCTGGCAGGGAGACCCTCACACTCTAGGCATCTGACAAGCAGGCAGCTCCTTTCTTCTAGGCCCGCCCCCTCCCAAATCCAGTCTCCCTGAGCCATGACTAAGAGCAAAGCCATCAGCACTTATGGGGGGGGGGGGGGCACTGCCTCCTCCACCTGACTGCCCGAGCCATCAGGTTTTCTCACCTCTGAGCAGGGAACCCTCACTGGCTCGCCCCCCCCAGCCCCTCCCTTCCTCCCCACCCTCTCTAATTATACCACAATTCCACCACTACCCCAGCCCACCCCATTTGCCATTTCTCTGGGAATCTCAGAATCATAGAATGGTTTTGGCTGCAAGGTGTGCGTGTGTGGGGGGGGGGGGGGGGGAGGAGGCAGTGTCTAAGTTCCAATCAGATTTCCTCCCTTATTAGCTGTGTGACCTTGGATAAATGATTTAATCCCTCTGTGCCTCAGTTTCTCCAGTACAAAATGAGATAGATACTAGGCTGTCTTCCTGCCTGGTCAAACCAGGAGCTTGGTGGTGTTCCAATGAGATCACAGTGGTTACCGGCTTTGCAAAGTGAACCCTGATGGAAGGCAGCGGATGTCAGAGCTGGCTGGTCAGAATTCAAATCCTATCTTTTATGAGCTTTGTGGCTTTAAGTTACTTAACCTCTCTGGGCCTCTGTTTCCTTATTTATCAGACAGAAGCACCCGAGTATTTGATTTATAAGGTAGTTTTGAAGATCAAAATTGATTTAATATGTATTAAACACTCCAAATATCAGTGACTGCTATTCTTGTCATCAGACAAAAATGCAGAAAAAGTTTAATAATAAAAATAAATATATCTTCCAAGTCGCTCCCTGAACTGCTAGCCCCTCCTCTTTCCACCTGCCGACCTGTCTCTCTCCAGAAACAGCAGTCAATTGCTTCTAAGACCCACTCAGAAAGCTGGGGTTGGGGGGGGGGGGTCCCTGTCCCTAGATGTGGGGAGGGGGAGCCTTTCAAAGACAGTTCTTTACCTTAGTATCAAGATTTCTGAGCCAAAGGCCAAAGAAGCAGAGTCCCATGTCAACTTGGCACACTTGACCACCCAGATTCCTGTCTGACCTACCCCCATACAGACTTTCTTGATGACCTTGGGGAAGTCCCTTCCCCTCCTCTGAAGCTCGGTTTCCTCATCTGTCAAACAGCAGCACCGTGGTGAGTGACAACCCAGAGGCCCCAGGTTACAATCACTGCATCAAGTGCCAGTGGCCACAGGACAAGGCCAGTCCCATTAGCATAACCCCTGGGCCACCATCCCACAGCAGGCTGCCACCTCTGCCTCCTTGGGCCCCCAGGTCATTTCTCCAAATGCTCCAGCGCCTGAAACCATTTCCCCCCTGCCCCATTCTCTAGCTCAATAGAGTAGCTTCCTTGGCAGCCTTGGGGGGAGGGGGGGTCTTCTTCCCCAGGCACCCAGACATCACCCACTGCTTGGCCCAGTCCTGGAGCTGGGCCTCTTCAGGCCTCAGACCAGGGCCCACACAGGCCTGCCCCTGGCTGCTCCACTTCCCTCCAGCCACACAGTCATGTCACACAACCCCCTCCAGGGCCCGGTACGTGGACTGTCCTTCCTTCTCCCATCTCTGGGGTCACCTCCACTCAGACCCTGGCCCTAGGCAGTCTCCTGAGTCCGTCCCCCGTCCCTGTCACTGAGAGGTGCCCCCTCCTTGCAAGACACACACACACACACAGCCAGGTGTTGGCCTCTCCTCTCAACCTGTGTCCTTCCCCCATAGTCTCCCCAAATCTGGGTCCCCCCCTACATACTCCCCCTCCTTAGCCTGGCCCAGTAGCCACCACCATTCTTCAAAATCTGCTCCTGGGGGGGTGGTACCCCCCCCCATTTTCTCCTAACATTCACTCTTCTCATCCCCAGGCTAGACCCAGGGCTCTCCTGGGGTCATGAGACGTCCAGGCCCTAAGACCTCCCCTGCCCCCTTGTGCTTTAATGGCCTCCAAACCCTTCCAGGCTCTGCCCCCAAAATGCAGGTTCACCGGAGACATCAGAAGCCTGGAGCTCTTTGGGGTGCCCCGGGCTCCCAGCCTCGTTTCATCCTTCGCCCCCCCTCCTGGCCCCAGCACCATCCCCATCACTCTGTCCCCACGCGCTCCCCCAAATATTGGGGTCCCGCCCCCCCCTCCTCCTCCATCCCCAGGGCTCACACTCCGCAGCTCCTGGGTCCGATCCTTCATCCTGCGACGGCTCCTCCTCCTCCTCGTCCTCCTCCTGCCTCGGCGGCCGCTCACTGCCTCCCACCTCGGAGCTGGGGGCCGGGGGTCTGGGGGCGCCGGGGGGGGGGCGCCGAGGGGAGCTGCCGCGGAGGCTCAGGCGGGGCGGCGGGGGGTCGAGGGCCGGGCAGGGGCAGGGGCCTGGGCCGCTGGGCTCTGCCTGGGCTGCGGTGGCGATGCGGCTGCGGCACAGGGCTGGATGGAGGGATGCGGGCGCCGGAGCGCGGGGGAGGGGGGCGGAGGGAGGGGGGAGGGGGGCGGGGGGCGGGGTGGGGGCGGGGGCAGGGGCATGCGCAGCGCCCGCCGGGGGGCCGGGGGCGCCTGGGGGTTGTAGTCCGGCGAGGGAGGGGGGGTGCGCGGGGAGGGGCCTGGAGAGACCCGGAGTGGGCGGGGGAGGGCCGAGCCGCGGTGGAGATGCGGAGAGGGAGATGGAGGGCCAGCAGCCGCCTGCGATGCCGGCCGGCCCCGGGCGGGGTGGGCTGAGGGGGCGAGCCCAGGGGAGCACCGGCCTAGGAGGACGGGGAGGCCGAGACAGAGCATCCTGTGCAGGGTGCTGGTGCGTGCACCTGCCGAGGACCCCCTCAGCCAGCCAGCCCGGGTCCCCCCCCCACCAGGCTGAGACTCCAGAAGCAACAAGGCTGACCCCCCACCCCCACCCCGACCCCCTCCCCCGTGTGGATTTTGGATGCAAGGAATCAGCCCAGCCTTGGCCGCGAAGAGGGAGGGATGGGAAGAAGGCTCACCCTTCCCCAGCCTACCTGGGTGCGCAGCAGAGGGTCTCTCAGAGCTCTGACTCGCTCACCCCCAGGGACAGGGTGCTCACCACCTCCTGAGAACTTCTCTCCCCCCTTCCCCCATCTGAGATGGCACTAGTTGTTCAAGATGAAATTTGGACGGGCGCCAGTGGCTCCCACCTGTAATCCTAGCTATTCAGGAGGCTGAGATCTGAGGATGGTGGTTCAAAGCCAGCCCAGACAGGAAAAGTCCATGAGACTTCTCTCTAATTAATCACCAAAAAAAAAGGGAGCTGTGGCTCAAGTGGTCGGGGACAGCTCCAAGGACCTGAGTTCAAGCCCTAAGACCAGCAGGAAAATAAATATATAAATAAATAAGTAAATCCTAGTCTCCCCATGTGACTCAGCTGGTAGAACACCTACTTAGAACCCCTGTCAGGCCCTGGGATCCATCATGCTTTATACCTGGGCCCTGGAAGCTTAGGCCTGTAATCCAAGCTACTCAGGAAACTGAGATCTGAAGTTTGATGGTTCAAAGCCAACCCAGGCAGACAAATCCAAGAAGCCAGAAGTGGAGGTGTGGCTCAATGGTAGAAAGCTAGCCTCGAGGGAAAAAGCTAAACACGAGGCTGAGTCCTTGAGTATGCACACAAAACCCAGCTGCAAGTTACCACCCTTTTCCACTGCCTTCTCCCCACCTTTCCCCTCTGTTCATCGTAGCCTCACATCTGCTCTCCCTGCCCAGGCAGGGGGCTCTGGGTCGCTGTGGGTTAGGCTTTGACTCTGCTTTTGCCAAGTACTCAAGGAAACCCATCCGCTGGATCTGGGTCAGGCCAGATCTTTTGGCAATGTTGACACTCTGAGTATTGTGGATCCTCCACTCCAGCTCTTACCTGCTGACCCCATGGCCAGCCTCTGGGTATTGTCCAGAGCCTTCTCCCAGGCCCCGCCTCTCCCATCATGCTTCACCCTCAAGCTCCCCTGAGTGCTATCCCTGAATCCTTCCCTCCCTCCCTCCCTCCCTCCCTCCCTCCCTTCTCTCCTTCCTTCCTTCCTTCCATTTCTTCTTCTTCCTCTTCCTCCTCTTCCCCCTTCCCCCCCTCCTCCCTCCTCTCCTCCTCTTTTCAATCCTGAGGCTTGAACTCAGGGCCTGGGCACTGTCCCTGAGCTTCTTTTGCTCAAGACTAGCACTCTTCCCATTTGAGCCACAGCGCCACTTCCAGCCTTTTCTGTGTATGTGGTACTGAAGAATCAAACCCAGGACTTCATGCATGCTAGGGCAAACACTATGTCGCTATGCCGCTAAGCCACATTCCCAGCCCCCTCCTCTTCTTTTTTTTTTTTTTTTGGGGTCCCGTAGTAGGGCCTGAACTCTGGGCCTCGGCGCTCTTCAGCTCAAGGCTAGCACTCTACCACTTGAGCCACAGCGCCACTTCCTGCTTTTTTCTTTTTGCTTATGTGGTGCTGAGGAATCGAACCCAGGGCCTCTGGCTTGCAAGGCAAGCGCTCTACCACTGAGCCACCTTCCCAGCCCCTCCCCTTCTTTCTTTACATGCACTTTTCAGCCCCTGCATGTGGACCTACACACGCCAGCAAGATCTATTGCCTCTGAAAAAGCCCTACTGTGTTTACGGGCTGGACACCAAATGCAAAGGGACTAAACGTGATCAGAGACCCGAGTAGGAGCCAGATACAATGGTTCATGCCTATAATACTAGCCACTCTGGAGGCTGAGACCTATTTTCTTCTCTTTTGTTGTTGTTGGTGGTGGTGGTTGTGGGGCTTGAACTCTGGTCTTGGGTGCTGTTTCTGTGCTCTTCAGCTCAAGCCTAGGCTCTACCACTTGAGCCACAGTGCCACTTCTGGTTTTCTGGTGGTTAATTTGAGTTAAGAGTCTCACAGACATTCCTGCCCAGGCTGGCTTTAAACCATGCTTCTCAGATCTCAGCCTCTTGAGTAGCTAGGATTATAGGTGTGAGCTACCGGCCCTCGGCTTTGGAGGCTGAGATCTAAAGATCGCAGCTCAAAGCCAGCTCAGGCAAATTCTAGAGACTCTTATCTCCAATTAGTCAGCAAAAAGCCAGAAGAGGAGATGTGGCTTGAGTGGTAGAGTACTAGCCTTGAGCAAACAAGCCAAGAGAGAATGAACAGCCCTGAACTCAAGCCCCAGTACTGGTATGACTACAACTGCACTTCCCCTTGTAAATAAAACAACAACAACCAAAAAAACACTCAAGACAAAAAACCTCCATCCACCCAGCCACTTGACACAGTCAGAAAGCTACATGACCCGCTTTGTAGCATAAGAATGCTACTCTGTTCTGAGCACCCACCAGGTCTGACTCACAATTAGCTCCTACACCTCCTACCACAAAGTACAGATGAGGAAACTGAGGCTTCACACTGCTGAGGAACATGTCTGACTCACAGGGACGGATGTTTGTAATTTGTGTGTGTGTGTGTGTGTGTGTGTGTGTGTGTGTGTACACCAGTCTTAAGGTTTGAACTCAGGGCTTGGGTTTTGTTCCTGAATATTTTGTGTTCAAGGCTGGTACTCTACCACTTGAGCCACAGCTCCACTTCTGGCTTTTCAGTAGTAAATTGGAGATAAGAGTCTCACATACTTTCCTGCCTAGAGTTGGCCTCAAACTGTGGTCCTCAGATCTCAGCCTCCTGGGTAACTAGGATTATTATATGCATGGCCTCTCCTCTCAGCTCTCTCAACCAGAGCTGTCTCTTAGGTCTCCCCCCGACACACACACACACACACACACACACAACCTCAGCTCAGGCTGGGGTCCCTGAGTCACTGGCCAGCTTCTTGAGTAGGTAGGATTACAGTTGTGAGCCACCAGTGTCTGGCTCAAGGCTAGCGCCCTACCACTTGAGCCACAGCACCACTTCCAGCTTTTTTCTGCTTCTGTGGTGCTGAGGAATGGAATCCAGGGCCTCATGCATACGAGGCGAGCGCTCTACCACTGAGCCACCTTCACAGCCCCTCATAAATTCTTATCTCCAATTAACTACCAAAAAAGTGGGAAGTGGAGCTGTGGCTCAAGTGGTAGAGCACTAGCATTGAGTCACAAAGCTCAGGAACAGTACCCAGGCTGAGTTCAAGCCCAAAGAAAAGTACCAAAAAAAAAAAAAAAAAAGTCTCATGGACTTTTCTGCCTAGTCTGGCTTCCAACCTTCATCCTCAGATCTCAGTTTCATCAATAACTAGGATTACGAATGTAAGTCACCTATTCCTGGATTTGCCTGGAATGCTTTGAGCCCTAATTTTTTTCTTTTTCTTTTCTCTCCTCCCCCCCCCCCCCCCCCGCCCTGTTTCTTTCTTCCTTTCTTTTTCTTTTGCCAGTCCCAGGACTTGAACTCAGGGCTCTGTCCTTGAGCCTCTCTGTGCTCAAGGCTAGTGCTCTATCACTTGAGCCACAGTGCTATCTCTAACTTTTTCTGTTTAATTGGTACTGAGGAATCGAACCCAGGGCTTCATGCATGCTAGGCAAGCACTTTACCACTAAGCCACCTTCCCAGCCCCCATACCCTTTTGTTTTTCATTTGTCTTTGAGACAAAGTCTCTGTATTTTTTTTTGCCCAGGCTGGCCTTGCTTCTCCAGCCTCTACCTCTTCTGTGATGCTACTCTTTGAACCAGGATTATATTTTAATGTTAAGAGATTCAGTGGTGAGTGAAGTTCTAATGGAGTCCTTTTTTTTTTTTTTTAACTTTTTCTAAGCTCTAGTTTCCAAATTTGTAAAATGCAGGGAAGGAGGATTTAAGAAGTATGAACATCTCTGTAACCTGAGAATCTCTATTCAAGCAGACATGAAAAAGGCCTGCTACTCTTCTGTCTACCCTACTACCCTGTTTACTTTTTATGCTTTATTTTTGACTTTTTGGTACCAGCACTGGGGTTTAAAAACTCATGGCCTCACATTCTCTGCTTTTTGGCTCAAGACCAATGCTCCATCCACCACTTGAGCCACACCTCCACATCTGCCCAGGCTTGCTCTGAACCCAAGCTTCTCAGATCTCAGCTTGTTTAGTAACTGGGATTCCAGGTATGAGCCATGGGCACCTGGACGTTTTTAAATTGGTGGTGTGCGTGTGTGCGTGTGTGTGCGTGTATGTTGGTACTAGAGTTTGAACTCAGAATCTGGGCACTGTCCCTTAGATTTTTTTTGTGTGTGGGGGGGGAGGGGGGGTCGGTCATGGGGCTTGAACTTAGGGCCTGGGTGCTGTCCCTG